ATTTTAATAAATATAATATGTAATAATATTTAAAATCTGGACCATCCAAATCAAAATCTGGATGGTCCAGATCTCACCATGATGCTCATCACTGTGATGAGCACCGAAACCAGTCTCCTTCATAGGATCTTCTTTCATCTCAAATTATAAGAGAGCTAATTTGAAGGGTTAGTGTTCCTAGTTATATAAGACCCTTTACAAAGTATGAGAAATAATTAAAAAAAATATTTTCACATATGTCCTGGTGACGAATGATTAAAATCCCCTGGCCCACCTCCTTTTTTATAAATATAAAATGGGGAAATTTAATTAATTAAAGAGTAAGAGTACAAGTCATGGCCAATTCCTAAATATTCATCAATTGGAAAATGACCAAAATTGTAAAGACTGAAATGAACACATTGGTTAAAAGATATCCACACAGAGAAGTATTGTGCTCAATGAGATTGTGTGAATATAGCAGGATCATCACGGCAGGAGGTTTTTTTTAAAAAAAAAAAAATAGCATTGGACGAAAATGTTCCTATCCTTTGAAGTTTGGAGAGATCAGGGGTGGATGTTACCCAGTAAAAGAACAACCTTTATTAGAGAAACAAACAGTTTATGTTTTTGCATTTGTGATTGGAGGGAATAAATCATTTGAAGAATTAAGATTGTTGGAATATGTGATATGTAGATGAAGCCGAAATAAGAAGACAAGATTGTTATTCATTTTGCCAATCTTGTTTTCGTAGTGTGGCAATGATCAGTCTCATGGACTTGGGATCGTGTTGGTGTTAAGAATGGAAATGACCACCTGAGACCAAGGATAGAGGGTAAATGAACAAGAATATCATAAGAATATCAGTTCTTAAGTTAAAATCTCAAAACTTGATTTAATAGGTCTTTCCATTTTATTATACTTCATTTATCCTAATTTATAAGGTATTTTTTTTTTTTACAAAATTACTTATACCAATAAAGTTTATTAACTATATTTTATCATCTTAATTTTTTTTATAATCTTTCAAAAATACTGCTCATTAATAAAAGATTAATGAGTACTCAAAACCAAGTTACCTTTGGAAAGCTATATAGTGGATGAAAATATGATTCGAAATTTCTGTGGCATCACTGAAAACATTTAACGTTGTGAAAATCATGTCATTTAATTGAGGGTAAAATTTGAAAAAAGAAAAACAATTCTAGACATGAACAAACATCACATGTTTTCTCGGCATCGGTGAATAAGAAAATTGGCTCTCTCTCTCTCTCTTTCTCTGTTTTTTTTTTTTTTTTATAAACAAAGGGGACGGAGCCCAAACTAAGCTAATGAAACAGAAACAACACGAAAGTGTGTGCCACCCTCAATATCTCGATGAATCCATTGTAAAAAATTTGCTGTTATATAGAGGGGGTATGAGTTGTGAAAATTTTTTATTAAGTGAAAGCAAGGGAATGTGAATAAGAAAGGAAATGAAATTAGGCTTTAAAAGTATGTTTAATGTATAAAATCAAATTATGGAATCCCAAAATAATTTTTATTTGGTATGTATATTTTAGGCTAAAATATATTAAACTCTTGTAAACTTTGAGATAATTATATATGACATCCCTCATCATTTAAGTTTAAAATTAATTTCCTTAACTCATTTTGTTTTTCAAAACTCCTTGCCATTAATTAACTATTATTTTCTTAATATAGTTATTGACATGTCATATTAATACAATATACATTGCACATGACATGAAAAAATATTTTTTTTCACACAATTTAAGAAGAGGTAAAATTATAATTTTTATTTTTAACAAACATGACAATGTTCTCTGTTTTTTTTTTTAGTTAAGTGATATTGTTCTCATTGTTCTCAGGTAATACAATTTAAGAGAAAAATTATAATTTTATTATTTTTATCAATTAAAATAGCCTTTTATATTAAACAAATGAAAAGAAAAATATTTAAAAACTGTCATTAATAATAATCATATAAATAAAAATTTATACTTTAATACAAAAAACTTATGATATTTTGCAATTTATTTTTAACAAAATTGATAGAAATCAACGATAGCAAAAAAAATATCTTATTCTAAAGCAGAACATACTTTTTATTTGAATAAGTACTGATAATTTTATTCAAAGGAGAAAATAACAACTACAAACAAATAAGAGTTTGAAGAAAATAAACAAAAAAGGTGCCAAAATTTATATGACTTTTATCAATGATAGCTTTTAATTATTTTTCTTTTCATTTGTTTAATATAAAACACTATTTTAATTGATAGAAATAATAAAATTATAATTTTATTTCTCTAAAACTATAATGCACAAATACTGATACTCATATTGAATATGTCCGAATAAGGTATGTCAATATTTTCATTTTTAATAATATAGGATACAACTCGTTTATGATACGTACAAACATGCATGCATGCATATAAAATCATAAAAATTTAAAAATATAATTTTAATTTATAAAATATCCAAACTAGTATATATATATTTATAATAATACTAAGTAAAACATAATTATCAATTATACTTCTATTCTATCTGTACTTAATTGCCTACCCTCTGATCCCACTAATAGGTTATTATCAATCTTTTCTCCTCATCAACTATCCTACAAAAAAATGATAACTTCTATATTTGGTTCTACTTACAACTTGCTTATAATTTATAACTTTATATATCATAAGATTACATTTTGACATTGTTATAATTACAAAAAATGTAATCTTTATTCTTTTATTACATTTAAAAATTATTATTTTAAGGAAAATCTAATCTTTGACTTTAAAAGCAAATTAAAAAATATATTAGTAATAAAAATTTTAATATTGCAATCTTTAATAAAATTTAATTTATTAAAAATTTCTCATGGCTTTTGAAGTATCAATTCATGATTTAGAAGTATTGAATATGTATCTAGAGTTAAAATGATTTTAAATTAAAAAATAATATTCTAATACTTTTTGGATACGTACCGAAAAAGTATCAATAAGTACCAATATCAAATGCGATACAGGTATGGATATATAAGAAAATTAAAAATATCGGTGCTTTATAGCTCTAAAAGATAGTCTAGAGAAAAAATTATCCTACTTAACAATTTAGTACTCCTTAAAAATAAGTACAAGATAATATTAAACCTTAACCCATACTATTAATATTAGGATAATCTACATTACTGAAACTTTTTTTTCAAAATATATTATATTTTGAGATGCCAAATCACCTCAAAATAATATCTTTTAATAAGGGATGGATAAAGTATATTAGTTATTAATCTCAGCTTTATTTGATAATTCAATGTGGAAACTTAAATCCACTCACACTTAAAAAAGGCACAAATACATATAGTTAGGGTTAGTTTCATTTTGTGACTCAAACATGCGCAATACAAGCTTTCAAATCCTGAGCAAAACCTGCATCTGATATTATTTGTTAGGAATGAGAAGCATCTGATCAAAAACATGATGATGGAATAATTGATGATGAGTAATGAAAAAACCCTACATCTTAATTTAAAATTTTGAAACTCAAGTTGAGTCATCCTTTATTATATATCAATTATTAAACTCAACTTTATTCAATGAGACTTCTGACATCAATTGAAATCCATTCGCACAACCAAATACTTTGCATTACGTTTTTATTGCCAAGGAGCAAAGAATCTGTACGAGGATGGAATTGTCGTGAAAATGCCAGAAGACGGAAAAAGAGGAAGCAGAATCAGGTGGGAAGCTTCACTTTGTCTCAACCAAATATTGTAAGATGATGATAAGTTTGATGACATGTTCATCAAAGGTTGGAGAGATCAAAGAATCTACGAGCCACTGTGAGATATCTGAGATATGCAAGCAATCCACTTTTAATGACAATACCCAACCAAATTACCATTGCAAAGCTACAGTGGATGAAAATATGATTCGAAATTTCTGTGGCATCGCTGAAAGCATTGAAGTTGTGACAATCATGACATTTAATTGAGGGCAAAATTATTTAAAAAAAAATACTAAAATTCTCTTGTAGACATTAAACTGAACACAGCAGGCTATTTCAGCCTTTAAAAAAATAAGTTGCTGATACGTCAAAATTTTCCATTAGTATGTGGTAAGAAGGAAGGTTAAATCATTTTCATGAAATTTTCTTTCTCCGGAAAAGAGAGTTGTTTCACACTAGACATTTCAAAATTCAGATTTTCTCTCCTTTCTTTCTATTTCTCAAGTTCTTGAGTAAATCAAACAGCACATTGATTTTTCATGTTAGAAAAATCTAATGTGAAGGAAAGACTATTGATGATGGAACATAGTCAAGCAAGAACTTCATACTAAAAATAATTAACGGCCACACCAATAATATTTAGTCATGCTAGAATCAACAACAAAATATAATCATCACAATAAATTTATAGGCAAATTCCACTATCAAAAATTCAGATATTGATATACAGATAATACATGCTACATGCGGTTAATTCTAAATAATTGCCTTCAATAACCATACATAGATGTTAAAGAAAGATGAACAGAACAAATAGATTCTCTTACGTTATTGTAAGATATAATAAATGCGCTCTCATTATTTTCTTCTATTTTTCTTTTATTATCTGAAATGCCAACTTTAACATCTTTCATGTTAATTTTGAATTCTAAGGCAAGGCCTTACCAAAAGTTCAAAATTGTTTCTGTAAATTCAAGGGATATGTATTAATTAAATGGCTAATTTTTCCAGAAAATTTCATGATCGAGCATTAATTAATCAAGTTGAGATTGAAAAAGTCAAAGGACGTAAACTAAAACAAAGGAACGACCAAAAATATAGGGGAGCCAACAATATGTGTTCCAATATAGTAATAATATATTTTAATTAATTTTCATTCACACATTTTCATGCTACAAAAAAGGGCAATACATGGCCAAATGGTTGGCCCTTTTGAGGTCATCTTCCCTGTAAAGGATTGAAGGAAAGCTAGTATGTAGCAGAGGAAAGGGAAGAAATGAAGAATTAGGAAGAGTGGATAGAAAAATAAAAATTATAGAGAAATTATTTTACAAAAAAAAAATATCTCCTCTTCTGTTTCCTTACATCTTTAATTTTCCCTTCCCTCTTTAACATTACCTCTTACCTTTAACAACACTGTATACTATCAACACAGGTAATTAACCCCATTTTTTCCTTATTTATTATATATTTATACTTGTATTGTATTATCTTTGTATTTTGCATTCACAATTGTTCCTTGTTTACTTATTCTCTTCCATTGTTTTCTTTCATATGTGATTTGGGACAGGGATTCAATCTAACCGAAAAAGAGATTATCCCCTACATCAGAAAAACCAAGGGACAAATTAACCCCAAAAAAAAAATCAATGAGAATTTGCTAATAGTGCTATAATCACAAGTTCTATTCATGAAAACTGGGGTTTTTTTTTTTTTATGTTCACTCAAATGATTTCTCTAAGTATTTCAAGAGCAGCAAGAACTTAATATGGTGAATCCACAGAAAAAGCTGAGAGAAAAGTATACAGAGTATGAAATTCATGCTGAAGAATCATGAAGCCGCTTAAAGGAGCTTTATCATCTTCTTCAGTCCTTAGATTAGGCTGAATTTTTAAATTGTGTATAGAAAGAATAAAAGAAGTACGCAAAGAAAGTATGAAGATTAATGGCAATATCTTCCATGAATCAAAAACAAAACAAGATTATTTTCATCTTTAGACCAATGTTGACAAGTTTTGAACTAATCATTTTCAGGTGATAACGACATCAGAAACTTAATTGACCACCCAAAAGGATAGAAAAAATGGCTCCAAGCAAGATCAAGAAAGCCTTAGGGGCAATGAAGGATCAGACAACCATAAGTCTAGCAAAAGTAGGAAGCAGTACCTCACTTGCAGACCTTGAAGTTGCCATAGTGAAGGCCACAAGGCACAATGAGCATCCTGCAGAAGAGAAGTACATCAGAGAAATCCTCAGCTTAACTTGCTACTCTCGTACCTACATCAGCGCCTGCGTCTCCACGCTCTCCAAACGCCTCAACAAAACTCGGAACTGGACCGTGGCCATGAAAACCCTCATCCTCATCCAGAGGCTTCTCTATGAAGGTGATCCTGCATATGAGCAGGAGATCTTCTTCTCAACTCGTCGAGGAACTCGTATTCTAAACATGTCTGATTTTCGTGACCATGGCAAGTCAAACTCATGGGACTTCTCTGCGTTTGTTCGCACATATGCACTATACTTGGATGAGAGGCTTGAGTATAGGATGCAGAATCGGCGAGGAAAGAGGAGCACATTTGGATGTGATGAAGAAGAAGATGAAAACAGAGACAAAGATAAAGAGAAACAGAAAGAAAAGGATAAAGAATCAGTTATGAGATCCACACCAATACGTGACATGAAGACAGAACAAATCTTTTCAAGGTTGCAGCATTTGCAGTTGCTACTTGAGCGCTTTTTAGCTTGCCGTCCCACAGGTTAGGATTCATCAGAGCCCTCCATTTTTTAACTATTTTAGATTTAGCTCTCTATGGATCATCCAGCAGAGTACCTTAATTCAGATTGGATTTCAAAACTTTGTGCAGTTACAGTTAAGATTCACGAGACCGTATACATGTTACTATAATACAACTAGCTAGAAGAAATCTCATGTTCCTTTCAATTTAACAGGAGCTGCAAAAACCCATAGAATTGTGATAGTGTCTTTGTACCCCATTGTGAAGGACAGCTTCCAGACATACAGTGACATAACAGAAATACTCAGTAATTTACTCGATCGATTCGAAGACTTGGAGATCCAAGACTGCATTAAAGTCTATGACATTTCCTGCCGTGTCGGAAAGCAGTTCGATGAGCTAGACTTGTTCTACTGCTGGTGCAAGAGTACAGGCATTGCAAGGTCTTCAGAGTACCCACAAATTGAGAAGATCACATCAAAGCAGCTAGAGTTTATGGATGAATATATCAAAGAACAGTCAGCTTTAGCACAAGGCAAGACGGCTAAAGTAGAAGAGAAAGATGAACAAGAAGAAGAAAAAGAAGAAGAAGCTGTGGTTCAACAAACAGAAGAAGAAGTGAATGCAATAAAAGCACTACCACCTCCAGAGGAGGAACTAAAGGTTGAAGAAGTGATTGAAGAACCAATCAAAGAAGAACCTAAAGAGCAAGAACAAAAAGTAGCTGATTTGCTACATTTAGGAGATGACATACCTACCACAGGAGAACAAGGGGATAAGCTTGCCTTGGCCTTGTTTGATGGTGCTGCACCAGCAACAGCAAGTACCACCCAAGCTCTTCCATGGCATGCTTTTGATGAAGAAGCAGATTGGGAAACAGCATTGGTGCAGTCAACTAGCAACCTACCAAACCAAAAGCCAGCACTGGGAGGTGGATTTGATACACTGTTGCTGGACGGCATGTATAAGCAAGCAGAAGTAAATGCAGCCATGCAAGGACCAGGGTTCGGAGTCACTGGAAGTGCCAGCAGTATGGCGCTCGGGTCAGCAGGGAAGCCGGCAATGCTAGCATTACCGGCACCGCCAACATCCGGAGGTTGTGCAGGTTTTGGGACAGCAAATTCAGATCCATTTGCAGCTTCACTAGGTGTGGCACCTCCATCCTATGTGCAAATGTCAGAGATGGAGAAGAAACAGAGGTTGCTGATGGAGGAACAGGTAATATGGCAGCAATATGCAAGAGAAGGCATGCAAGGAGAGGCTACATTGTCAAGGCTAGAACGGAATGCTTACATGGGAGCATGTGCCCAACCTAACCCAGGAAGTAATTGTCGATGAATGTTCTAGCTTTGAGAGTTTTGCTCAGTCCTCTAGGAACTCTTGTTTTCATATCAAGACCAGGTGCAAAAACATGTCATTTGGATAGTGGCAAGTCACGATTATTAATCCCTAAAATCTAAACAGCTGATTGCAGAAACATGACAAAATTAAATCATTGAGGGGGAATGAATCGTCCCAAAATTGCTTCAAAGACTGTTCCAAGATAAACATGGGGAAACAAAAAATGAAAAAATAAAAAGCTTCAAAAGCGTCATAGGACATTGGAGTCCCAAAGTGTTTGTTCATTGTTGTACAGAAAAACTGATATTAATTCAAGTTATAAATGCATGGTCCGCACTCGAGAAATGATAAACAACATACAAACTTCCCAGCAGGCCCCACTCATTTACGTACTTCATCAGAATTTACAAGAGTTATCGCCATTTTTTTTTTTTTTTTGAGGTAGCCGATTTATAAACTGCACCATAAAGATCCAATTACAATTAAGTTTTAGACAACTAATTATTATACAAATCAGTCTCTCATTTGTTGGGTGTTCCAACTTTTGAAGGGTAACGAACTTCTTGTTGAACAACATCAGCATCAATATCAACCAAAAAGTTTCAAACTTACAGATTAGGTGAGAAAATATAAATTGAAAAACATATTCCCTCCACTTAAAAATATAACCAAATTTCACTACTCAATGAAAGAGTAACTCTATCTTTTTATATTTAACTCTATCAAACATCCTATAATAAATATAAAGTTATTATCAACAGAGATACTTTAAAACAATAATAATAATTACACATCAAAAAATTAAAAATACCTTATATTTTTTAACATATAACTCCTCAAAATTGGAGAGAGTACTTCCTAAATGTAATTTCAGTGAGATCAAAGACTAACGATTCGATCCAAGGATTTTGTTCACTCGAATCAAAAAAAGAAGAGGAAAATAAAACAATTAATTAATAATATAAAAAAGATATGAAAGACCTGGAAGCAATAAACTAATATTAGCAAAAGCAATCCTCCAACACGAGATAATTTTCATTAATAGCATATAGCTATTAGATATCCAAAGAGAAACAAAATATTCCAAACGTTTTGAACATCCGAAATGAGAACATAGCTACGTAAAATGAAGACAACATTGACACCATAAATCCTATTTTTGAAACTAGAACAGAGAAGTTCCCTTCCCCTTCTTATCCCCTCCGATCTCAAAGTGCTTGCACCTCTGCAGAACGAATTTAAACAATCAGTCAGTAACATACGACACGACAGAAAAAATAACACATTTGAAACATGCCATGTTTGATTTGCTAACCTTAATAGGATGTTGAGATACGTGTTTGCAACCCTGGCACTGCAGCCTCAAGACAATCTTCTTGGTGGTCTTAGCCTATTCAAACAAAATTAATTGACCACAGGAAATTAAAACTAGTTCCCAATAACATGACCTACATTAATATTTTGGAGATTCAGTGTTGTTGAGTGAAACAGGAAGACAGCTTACCTTTTTGTGGAACACAGGCTTTGTCTGTCCACCATAACCTGACTGTTTACGGTCATAACGGCGCTTTCCCTGAGCTGCAAGGCTATCCTTGCCCTTCTTGTATTGTGTAACCTTGTGCAGGGTGTGTTTCCTGCACTCCTTACTCTTGCAGTAAGTCTTCTTGGTCTTGGGAACGTTCACCTACATAACAACATAATTGTAACATTTACCAATAAAGAATATCAAAATGATACATCTCACAAATTAGTCCAGAACCCAGATTCCTTGAGTTTCAGTATTGACCAAAACTTAAAAAAAAAAATCAGCACAGATGAATTCCACGAAAATAAACGGATATTTACAGGCTAGCACTAACAACATACAACACCTACAATCAACAAAAATTGAAAAGCTCAAGAAATTGAAAGAAATCATATACTCATCAACTTAAACCTTGCAGTATGCTATTTTTCCGGAAATAACAAAAGGAAACGAAAAGAAACAAGACAAGAAAATAAAAAATAAAGAAGGGAATCACAAATTGCAAATAAAAATGCTTGCTAATTTCATTATCAGAACTACGCAGAAACATATATGAGGTAGTGATCCAATTTATTCCCTAAGATGAATAATACTGAAGACAGTGAAAAAAAAAACGCGAAGAAGACGGCGAAGAAGAAGATGATGATGGTGATGGTGATGAAGAAGAAGAAGGCGGTTACCATGATGCCGATCAACCCTGAGCTCGGCGCCGCTAAGGAGTGAAGAAGACGAGACGCGATGGTTACCAGGTTTTCATTAATAGAAAGAGAGATAGATGTTGGTTTAGGGTTAGGGGCGATGGTTCAGGCCCATGGGAGTTGGGCCCACCTTTGAGTCCAACAAATGTCGAAATCTAAAGTTTTTATTAAGGAGAAACTCAAATAATAATTTTTTTCAGTTGAACTGATATTTCATATTTTAAAAGAAGATAAGATTAATATAAATGATATTAATTTTAAAAAACCAGATAATTTTTTTAATTTTAATATTTATGGTTTTAAAGATAACTGTGATCTTATATTTGATCAGATAAACTTATTCAAAATTTTTAGTGTACAGTAAATTGGAGAATTGAGAATTCTATGTAGCCCAACTTTGCTGGAGAAAATTTTTAAGTAAATTTTAATACTATGAAAGAGACGTTTGAATTAGGTCTAGAAAAGGCATTGATTCCTCATGACATTGCAAATTAAAGTTCAAATTCTTGCTAGAAAGGTGCCTATCCATGCCCGATCATCCCTCAAATAAAATTACCTTAAAAAAAATATATTTATGATCAATCAAAAAAGGGTTAACATATAATTTAAACCTTAAACTATAAGTCAAGAGGTAATTTAAATTCTAAACTTTAAAAAAGTATATTTTAAATTCTAAACAATTAAAATTAGGATAATTTCACTCCTACCATTAACTTTCAACAAACATTCTATCAAATTCATTTGAAAAAAATTATACTTTAAACTCTAATTTGATGAAAGTTTGTTGAAGTTGATGATAAGCGTGAAGTTACTCCAACTTTAATAATTTAAAGTTTGAAATGTATTTTTTTTAAAAGTTTAAAGTTTAAATCGTCTCTCGACCTATTGTTCAATATCCATATTGCATATTAATTCATCAAAAAAAGATATACATGTAGTCTACTTTATTTAAGCTAAATTTAAAGAATACTTATTTAAATAACTCATTATTAAGGAAATGTATGTGAAAATTTTGAAAATAAAATAAAATTATATATAGTTTAAAAATTTAAGAAGATATATTTGTAATTTACTCTTTGAATTAAATGAATATTTTATGTTTTCAGTTATGAGTGTATTAATAGTTTTAATAAAAAATAAGATTTGTTAAATCGACTTTCACCATTTAATGCTAGTTAAGGGCAACTTTTGTTTAAACTTTTTTCATGAAAGAAATATTTTTTAAAAAAAAATTTGTAAAAGTTTATGATGTTTGTTTAATTTTTTTAAAAATAAATTAGAAAATAAAAATAAATTTCTGATTATTTTTAAAAAATTATTTTAAGTAGTTTCTAAAAATAATTTGGTGTGGTAGATAAGAAAAAATTTCATAATAATGTAAAGATACCCGAAGATATAATAAAAGTTTAAAATAACTAAATAATAACTTTTTTATTATTATAACTAATTCTACCTGCTTTTCATAAAATTTCTATAAAATAAATTTCTTTTTACAAAATCTATAATCTCTGGCAAACAAAAAATCTATAATCTATTTAAATTTTACTTATTTTTTAATCTTAAAACAAACATGCAGCCAAAAACTACAGTCTCATTTGAATATATTCATAATTGGTAAGATGTTGTCTTCTTCTTGGCCAAAAACGTATGGTTGCATTTTTATTCCCGAAGGACGAAGAATTCTATTCAAATGATTCTGAATTTTACAAGTCTTTACCTATTGTAATTACCGTCGAAATGGTACTATAGTTCTACCTTAACATTTTATATCGTTAGAAGATGTGAGAGCTGTGAGGTTTACATTAAAAAATATGCGGCCTATGTGGAGCCATAGTAAAAAATGAACATACAAAAATTTTTAATTTATACTTTTTTCAAACCATAACATATGATATTTTCAAGAAGTTCGTTTGACTTGAAAATTAAAATATTGGGTATATTTTATATATATTTTTAATTAATTATACTCTTATTTTACAATTTCTTCAGTTTTTATTATAAAACCTCTTTTAGAAGAATTTGTTGGTCTTTAACATAATGTGGTTGATAGAATATTAATCACAATTTTATAATATCATCCATATTTAAACTCATTAATTATAAGAGAAGATATAATGCAAATTTTAAAAAGTTTCATTTAAAAATTTACAACATTATTTGTCTATCTTCTTTTCTATTGAAATTATTAAAATGTCACTCATTCTATTCTCATCCATTTTCCTAATATCAATGCCCCGTGCATCGCTCGGGTGTAATATCTAATGAATTGGTATATCCAGAGTTAGACTTCTTGGAAGTTCTTCAGAGCCCCCAAAACCAAAAAAAAAAAAACAAACAAAAGTGAAGCTAAGTTGAAATTGATTTAGAGAAATTCTTCATGGTAGAACTGTTAAACTGGGTGATTGCAGATAGGCTAAGCAAATGTGCACACTAGCCAGCCCTTGTTCCTCATATATACAACTGCTAGCATAGTTAACTTATTTCTCGATCATATGAATTTAAGCCACACGTAGCACCAACTTTTCACAAAACCCATGAGAGATCCTACTACTGTAAGCTCATTTGGGCAAGAGCTCAAGTCCAAAACAACGAATTTAACATAGTCTAACATCTCACTATCGACGCAATGCACAATTTGATGGACCAATTGAAGAGATTGTGAGGAGACTCTCCTCATTTGTGTGTTTTGGAACGTAAGCTGTAGAATTCTCTGATTTTTCTTCACTTCTTCACAAACAGATCAACCCCAGAAATAGAGCCAGCAAAAGAAGTCTTTGATTTTGAATGAGTTTTAAAACTGCGTACAACTACCCACAACATCTTCAATATCCAATGGCAAGAGCTCATCACCAAATTTGTTAGGCAACCGGAGATCCCCTTGTGGAGATGCCCAGTTTCATTCCTACACAAACCAAGGTCTCAAGTGATCTAGCGCTATTTGCTAGGAGGTCTTCATCAATCGCTATTGAATTCTGCAGGCCAACAAAAAGAAAGGACAGAGATGTCATTACACTTATTTTCCAAAGATTAACACAAGAAATTATCAATCTTCTCAGAAAGCTCAGATCTCAGGCTAGGTAATAAATTAAGCCCACTGATTACACATGCAAACAAATAAATAAAGAAAGAAGTTGGACATGTAAACCATTTGGAGATTAAACAATCAGAATAGAGAATTGAGCCACAGCAGTAATGCCTCTGGTTGTCCCGTTCATATGTAATACAACTGAAGAAGCAAATGACATAGTTCAGCTCCCTTTATAGACTAGACTTCCTGAAATTTCTGCAATTGTTGAGGCATAGACAATTTAAACAAAACCAGCTCTCAGCGTTTGAAATGTGCCAAGATCATCACATCTCACATTGCAGGACACTTAAGCAATCCATGGACACTTTAAATCTTCTCATGTCATCGTGTCCGCATCCAAACTTCTTAGTCTCTGACATTAAAACTCAGTTAAAGGTTTAATAATCCGCTGCTCTGCCCCCACCTCTTTTCTTGTAAAAGAACGCACCAATTACATTTCCTTAAAACTAATGATACAATGAACTGAATGGATCAGATGAGAAATAAGAAATTACATTAAATAACAAGAGCATGTTGCAAGAGGATTGGAGGAGAACATGGCTTTTACAATTAAGGTTTGTCGTTGGTATTTTTTCTTAACCTAATGACTGGCAAAAGCAATTCATATCAGACCAAAAATCTGAAGAGAATCTTCAGACAAATTTAATAAGTAAAATAAATTAATTTTGTGCACAAGATTTATTGATGACTTGCTCGTAGATCATGCTAAAACTGCACAAAAATTATGATTAGGGAAAGAAAAATAAAGATCAGGAATATTTTCTACAATAAAAAATTTAAAAAATAATTCATGAAGAATTATCAAATGAAAATAGTGAAGCATTATCACAGTATTAAAACCAACCTTTTCAAAAATACAGATTACAGTGCTTCCGCCAAACGAGAAATATCCAAACTGCAATTTAAGCAAATGAAATGTCAATTAGCAGGAGAAACGAAAGATGGAAGGGGGGGGGGGAGAGACCAATCTGTCTCTCGAATACCTCGTCTCCCTTCTTGACATATTCACCCTTCTTTTTAGTAAAAGTGATGCTACCGACCATCGTAGCTCCTATTGCAACAAATGCCACCTGAATCCAGATCCAATGAATATATATTGAGCGTCAAATACAATTCAGGGTCAAAGTAGTAATATGCATAAATGGGTGTGAAAGTAGCTCTCTCAAAAAAATTTCAGGAACTTTGCAAACCGTCTAAAGCACATCAGAAAAACTGAAAGAATAGGCAGTAAAAAAAAAAAGGACTAAATACTTAAATCAGTATACAGGAAAGACCCTGTAAAGCTTAAAATATAAAACAAGTGTAATGTTGACTTGTGAGCAGTGAAGAATTTCAGAAACTAACGACTGAAATGTCATATTTTATTCATGGTTGAAGACAAAATTATATAGAGAAGCAGATGGCAGATGCCACTCTTCCCCTGAAAACAGCCACCATCAAGGCAGCAACATCCTAGTATCTAGAAAAGGAAAAACACTGTTGACAACCCACTCTAAATGATCATATCAGACAACAACAAAAAATGCAACAAGAACAGAGAAACAAATACATTATAGAAGACATTATCAAGGCCTGATTGCTAACACATAAAAGAAAATGAATAAGAAAATAAATAAGTTGACTCTGATGCTAAAACCCATGTGATAAAGAATGCTGATCAGAAAATGAATAACTAATGCAAAATAGAAAAGGACAAGACTAAGCATCATTGAGTCTTTAAAAGTTTGCTCCCCATGACGTAATCTATCAGAAAACCTAATAGCTAATGCCTAAATACTGTAACTTAATTGTTTTCAAACAGGGAAAATCATTACAAACCCTCAACATGTAAATAGTTTATTTATTATCACTTTGAAGTTTGAAATGCAGCACGATGTAGGGAAGAAAAAAGTTGTCAACTATGAAAATGACAAGGAAAATGAATAGGCTGCTCAGATTTGAAGAGGCACAACAGATTACAAATTGTAAAGCAACAAGACGATTACACCAATAAGCCTTATCCTAATAAGAGGAGTCGGCTAAATGGATATTTTCATGTAAGATTTGACAGAGTTTTACATTGGCTGTCAAGGACCTAACATAACCCTCTTCCTTTATCTAGGCTTTAGACTAGCTATAAAAAAGAGGCAGGGTTCATCATGACAATTTCAAAAACAAAACAATTAAGTTAAACGAGTTAAAGAGGTGATGATTAAATTAATATAAAAATGCAAAAGAAAACAATGATTGCAATCAGAATGCATGCTGAAGTTGATGATCAGTGTTGTCCTTAGTCCTACAATCATCCTTCTCAATCATTTTAGATTTATGCATTCAAGAATATAGACTTATCATAATGACAATTGACAAACCTTTCCAAAGTCTACAGTTGAAATTATTGAAACAACACGCTTATTCTCAGTGAAAAATTGCAGTACTTGCTATTTACAGCAATGGGATTGACCTGTATAAAGGAGAACAGAAGACAAAACAAATTGACAGTGAGATCAAATACCAGGAAAATAGACCAAAAAGAATATATGTAAAGGTATATAAATTATCATTTTCCTAAAGTGATTGTCACATACTGTATATAAGCATCCAGTGATATCTACAAATTGCTCAATAGTTCCTGATACTGGCAAGTGGAAACGATGATAATCCTGAAAGAAATAGAATTTATGTCAAAATTTAAGTGACACATAACAGAAATGGAATAAAATTTAAAAAGGCAACCAAAAATACCTGTGGTGCTAGACGAAATACAACAATTGTTCCATCAACAAAAGCAGCAGAAGAAATTTCATTCCCCAGAAGGCCCTGAACTGAAAACTTCCGACCCTAGAAGTGACAGAAGGTGATCCAGAAATTACTTTCCTCAGCAGCAATCAAAGTGAACAGAATAAAGGACTATAGTTATTTAGCAAATTAAAAGTAAAAGGCACCAGAAAGAACTGTAATTACAACAAGCCAGAGGATGTTTACAGGTAACAAATTGATTGAGCAACCAAACACTTTGATCTATTACACTTGTTTCTTGTTTTCATGCAAAGACAGAGCATAATAACACAAGTAAAGACCAGATCATAATCCCATTTTCACACAAATTTCTTCCTTCCTGCGCCAAAGCACTTACAGGAATACCAAGAAGGTGCTAGTTCAATAAGCACTAGTATAATGGTCCCAGAAATTGGCTGAAAACTGTTTTATATCACAAAAGTAAATTGAGTCTAAATAGTATAAATACGTTATTCGTAGATTTCCAAACATGAAAATCTTAATATTAGAAAGAAAGCATGCTTTCAAGGATGGAAACAAGGATGGAAACATTCCATGTAGAAGAGATAAGGCAAAAAAAAATTACCTTAATCCAAAATCTTAAACTATCATCAACTGATTTAAATGCCATTAGACGACAATCAGCAGCACATACAGCAATATCATCACGTTCAATGGAACAAATGGGTCTTGAACCAGGCTTTAGCTCTCTTATAAAAAACTCGTTGAATGTCTGCCCACAAATATTTAAGATATGAATCCTCAAACAAGATATCATACAACCACAAATCGAAAAATAGTTTGCATTAGCAGTTTAAGCATTCAGAATCAAAAATCAATAATTCAATAAATATGTTTACAATAGTTAAGCTGCATTGTTTACGAGCTATGAACAGTGCAGTTTATATTGGGCTTCATGCAAATGCGTGTGCCCACTCTAGTTTATAAGTTTTCAATCCAAACTCCTGATACAAACAAAAGTTCATGGAACTAGCGCATTAGAAAAGAAAATGAATTAGTTTTTCTTGTAGAGTGGACTCTACAGGATCCACGGAATAAAAAAGGGGGAGAAAAAGCATGGCGCTGGCAGGTAGAAAGGATTCTTGAATAAATATAACAAAAGGAAATAAAGCAGTATTACTGAAAACTATAATATCACTTAGACACCATTCCTGGCTTTACAGGGGACAATACAGACATCACCTCAGGAAATAACATTCCATTAATACTTGTTTAGTCTATTAGCAAGGCATGTCAGGTAACAAGATCCATGAAGGGATCTGGTACCTGAGGGGTACAAAACAAATTGCTTAGTTAATGGCTAACTGGTGTGGGGAAAACTAGTAGATGAGAAGTGTGGGACAGCTAGAAGGTGCCATATGAGCACATGAACAGTGACTGACAAATATTTCAGAACATATCAGCCCTGTTTGGTAGGCAGCATTGGAGGGTAGGGATTAGGATTGGAATTGGGATTAGTATTGGGATTGGATAATACCACCTTTAACATGTTTGATAAAAGCCATTCACCAATACTTGGGATTACTTGGTCCCACTTAGGTGGGAACACTAAAACCCACTACCCTCTGGTGTTGCAAAATTAATCCTAGGATTGAAATTTTTATGACCAAAATACCCTCCTAAAAAATACCAGATCTAACTCGTCCCCTCATCCTTGACCTCGTTGCTTGGACAAGTTCACCTCCATGGATGACTTTGGCGACAACTTCCTCCCTTGCCAGTGACAAGTTCCTTGACATCATATAAAAGGCGCTCACTTTATCATCTTCTCTGCGTTTAAATTTTTTTTTTTTTTTTCATTCTTCGCCCATCTTTGTAGGTGTTAATCAATCAATGAAGTGGAATCAAGCTAGCAAGTTGATCAGTGCTCTGCATACCAATTTTTTTTTCTTAGAATTTCCGGGTTGATTTTCCTGCATCACCTTTTTCCTCCCTTTTGTGGCCACCATTCTAGATCTATGCTACTCATTGATTTTGCTGAGTTTCAAAAACTGGGGAAGGGGGGGAGAGAGAGGATGTTTTGTGGAGGAGGGACACGATGATATGGAAGGAAGAAGAAAGAAGATAGATCTGGTTTTTTTTTTTTTTCAGTTGCAGGGCAGTCATGGAGAAGAGAAGAGGATGAGGATAATCTTGTCTTTTACTTGTATTTTTTGTTTGATTTGAGCCAGACTTTTTTTTTTTTCCTAATCCTATCACATACCAAACATAATTTTAAATATTATTCTCATGTCCAATCCCATGCCCAATCCCATTCCCAATCTCTTAAAATTCAGTGCTTCATACCAAATAGGGCCATCAAGTACTACAAAAAGTGATACACTGATCCATTGTTGGCCATATGTAACCTGGAAATAATTCTCCATACTTGTTTCTGTTTATAGGAGACTAGGATTATCACTTAGTCAAAATTATCTTTCATTTTTTTTTCCTTTATTTTTAGCGAGATTGGGTAACTTTTAATTTAACGTTTCCTATTTTTTGGGGGTTAGATTGGCCGACTTGTTGGGGCCAGCATCCTTTATATTATACTGGCTTTAGCCATTTAAAAAAAGCAAAAGTTGGCACTTGCAATGAATCCAACCTTCTTTGAAACTCATCCTTTTTCCCCAAACAGCCCTTTAAGGGGAGATCACTCAAATTTATAATTGAATGTCACAGAAATGAAGGCATCTTTGAATAATAATGATCAATTTTCTTATTCACATATAATATTAAGAAACCAAGAGCTAGCTTAATGAAAAACAGAGATGTAAAATAGTGTTAAGATCAATAATTTTAAGTCACCTGAGTTTATTAATTGATAACTAGAAGCCTCTTGTTTCAAAGCAATTGGGTGATAGAAACAGAAACTAGTGCTTTGCTTCATAAAACTTAAGACAAAAGGAGATATGTAGAGACAAAACACCTTTCACTAAAACATAGTGAAATTAACCACGCAGAGAATCCTTAATATGTAATAGGATCTTCAAATTTACATTGGTGGTTCAGACTAGCTAACAGAGTATTCAGGTACAACTGCACATCATCAACAAACGTACTTAAGAACTTTAGAAAGTATTAGCCCACCTTAAACTTGTCCAAAGGTTCCTTGACTTCAGCCAAATTAATTTGATCCTACAACACAATGTCACATCATTTATAAGAAGCATGTAATTTCATGCACAAAAAATCCAGTACAAAAACTACAGAACATCAAAGTAGATATACCAGGAAGGGCATCCTACTCCATTCACAGAATAATTATAATTACTTTCATAAAACTCTCCCCTTTCCTTCAGTTTCTCATAAGACAAGTTGCATATAATTCATACTAGTTTCAGGTCAATCAAATGTCAGTAGTTGAAACTCAAGTGAAAATCAAATAAAAGGCACAATGGGAAAAAAAGCAATCAAGATAACAGATGAATAGTTTAGTTAAAGCAAGACCATTCAAACAGTGAACATATAGGTAACAATTGAAATTATATATCATTGACTTGTCTCGGTAGCGCTTGTATGTAATGAAGATGGAACAGTAATGTTACTTCCTATTTCATTGTTTGTTCTTATGGTATATGTTGATGAATTTCTTTCAGTCAATACCAGCTGTAGATCATCTAAATTTCTGGTGAAATATGTTAGAAATGAACATTCTGATCTACTTTAGATCCTGCTATTGCCAGGCATTAAGTATGTAGAAGGATAGAAATATCTTTCTTCTTTACAAGACAAAATCTTGAAGTCTAAAGCTAATCATGCAAAGTTTATTGCTGATTTGCTACAGGAAAAAGGCATCAACATACAAGTTACTTGCGTATATGATTTTGTTTACCAAGGTGAAATTCACAAGCAATGGCACCATTTGGCTTCGTACTTGCAAGCATAATCACAAAGTTTCCAGCCATAAAGCAGCTCATACCTTAAAAAGTTCAATAAATTTAGGTATATCCGATGCAGATTCAGGTGAATTCATCTTATTTCCCTGGCTTTCGGAAATTTTTTGCAGGATTTCCTTCACCCCTTCAAAAAAGAAATCCACCATTTTAAGGCATTACAAAGGATCAAGTGACTCAACACAAAGGAAAGATTTAGAAAGGGGGGGATTAAGAAGCTGCTAGGGATCTAGCGGAGGTAATGCTTCAAAGAAAAGATTTAAGTAAGTTTGATTGACTTGGTGAAAGTGCCACGTCTGAAATCAGTGACCCAAGCACATAATGATCATTATTTTTTTTCAATTAATTATATTTTTGCTCTTTCTAATGCATTGACAATGCACTGTCTGCCTCCAGAAAGTGCCATTTCTGAAATCAGTGACCCAAGTACATAATGATCATCATTTTTTTTTTCAATTAATTATATTTTTGCTCTTTCTAATGCACTGACAATGCACTGTCTGACTCCAGAAAGGTCCACAGGATCTAACATTTCTGTCTGGCTTTTTCCCTGTATCACTATCAGTACAGCTAATAACAATCATATGCCACAAAAGAGAGTGGTGACGGGAAGTTGCTTATATAAGTAGCCTGAGTCAGAACAACAAGGAGAAATGAACCCATACCTACATTTATTAGGCCAAGACCTACTTTTGACTGATAAATGGCTCTCATTGACAAAACAATCTTTTGTCAATTAATTCTTCAACAAGTCGTTTAGTCTTCCGGTCAAATACCTGATGCCAAATAATGGATAAAGAATTATGAGCTTTAAGACTTGACTCAACAAATTGTGAGTATGCATGCCATATGATAGCATGAAAGTACTTAACATGGATGCAAATCATTAAATTCCAACCAAGTCACTCACGGGCGCACGTGCACATAATTCAGTGGTATTATGATCGTTTCAACCTCTCAAAAAAATTCAGTAAAATTGAGTTTTGTTCACTAACAGAGGTATCTCCATTTTGATAGTTATCTCAAGCCCCTGCATTTGAATTTCTCACAATTGTGAAACGTAAGCATGGCATAAGCTGACAATAGCATGAAAAGTGTGAAAAGATAGACATATCAAAAAATCAGATTGAAAATCTTCCAATTTTGATGCGCCTGTTTTGAGAAAAATCAGTTATTAGCATAGGAGAAAAGTAAAATCCCTAAATGATCCTGTATTTCTCGTCATGACTTGAAATACTTTGACATTATACGTGAATTGCATCAATGTCAGCAGACTATTAGGAAAATGAATACCAGAATGTGAGAAGCGCTTGATCCTGAGCGTATACCAACGTCATAGGATGAGAAATGGGCCCATTCACTCAGTTTAAAGAGCCACCTAGATAAATAGGTAATTTGATCATTTCATCATATATAGAATCAAATTTAAAACCAGTGTATATCATACAGAAAAAATATAAATTGACAGTATACAACTGAAAAGTTAAGACTATCTTTGTTCTCTCTTCTACTGTTTCTCATGGTGCTGAATTAGCAGCATGTTCAGAAATTTACCCATATGATGCCTGTTTATCTGTCAAGAATCCTCCAGTCATCACCTGATTTCCAGTCCCCTCGTCAAACATAGAGTTAAATGAACTACTGTGTTCAGCTTGTCAGAAACCTGAAGAATCTCACCACAAACAGGGCAGCAATTCAATAATGTTTCCCTGCAATACCAGAAAGCAGCAAATTAGAATCAAATAACTATACACAACGCAAAGATAGAATCAACATAAGAGAAGATTTTCATCCATTCCCGGTCCTTGATGACAATTCGAACATGGGAATGATTAACTTTAAAGAATTTGAGAACAAATAAACAGAAAAATCAAAAAAAGATTCAAATGTTTTTTTTTTTAAGAGAGGTTATTATTGTCAACAGTAGACAACAAAACTTTAAGAGAAGTAAATATATAAATGTAATAAAGAGGGAACTAGACTCTTTGTTGGAACATATTATATAAATAGACAGATATATGGTGCTCATAAATAGATGGAAATAAAATGACAACTATGATTGGATGCATTTGCAGCCAAAGAAACTAATTTGCATGCAACATATATGCATGTATTGTGATTCTTTACTCGTGTTTCCATTAGTAACATAAATAAGGAAACAAATTCCGAAATAATACAAATCCCAGTTCTAGTCTTCCTCACAAGATGCAAAGGAATGACACAATGAAATAAGATGACTATAGCAACAACAAAAGAATTAATAATTTTAAGCCATTGGACCTAAAAAATGACGGCAAATGGATAAAAATAACGCCAGCAGTCTCATATCAACCATTACTTTTCTTGTTGGAAAGCAAGAAGGTCAGCCAATTCATCCGTGTTAACCATGCCATCCCCATTTTTGTCAGCTGCCTTGAACAGTTCTTCTTTCTATGGCAAAGAAAATAGCATTGCTCAGAGTTAAACATATTCAGACAAAATTAAAGAGTACACTGTAATTACAAAACTAAATATTATATTGTAATGAAGATATTGAATTACATACAATCAAGGAATCAAATTTCTATATAATTATTAACGGTTTTAACGTTCAAAAGGTTACTCTTTTATGCTATTTATAAGACCATAGAATCCAAAATCTGAAATTCTCTAATTAAAAAAATCTAAATTTAGGTATATAAGCAAAATTAAAGGAATATTCTACAAGCATTGGCATCATAAAATGAAAGTCACATAAGTTGTACTCAAGTGTGATACCTTGACGGATGCTGTTTCATTGCCAAAGGCATCAATTAGGTCAGAAAATTCAGAAAATGAAAGCACACCATCTCCATTACAGTCCTGCACAGCATGTTACCTCTCAGGTTAAAACTAGACTGTAATAAACTGGTCTCAAAACCATAAACTAAATATATACAACACTTTCCCTGGCTCACATGATGCATATATTAAAGTTATTCAGCTTGATCAGTTTCCTTTCAAATTATAAGAGCACCCAATAGAGAAAAAATGATAAAGGGATGTCATAAGAAATAATTTAAATAATATGGAACAATCTTTTAACTTTAATAGCTACATAAACATGTCCGCAAATGATCAAGTATATCAGTCTCACAAATAATTCGCACTTCAAAGTTACTTTATACCAACGTCCTTGTGCAAGAAAGTGATCAGATCTTTTATCATCATCATTTCTCTTTATATATCCCTCATATGTCTAACTGTCAAACCCGTATTAGGGAAAACTTATCCCAAAAAAAAAAAACCCAAGAAGAAAAAAACAGCCACACTTACCACAGTAGATAAAATGCGTTTAACAAAGCCTTTCTCTGTTTCAACAGGATCCTGTTAAAATTTTCTCATAATTGTTACTAATCCTTATCATATTCAAACAAAAACATGGAATATATTATATAATGTATACCTCCACAGAACAAGAAAGAGAAATTTTCCCAACCACTTTATCTGGTGAAGATGGATCAAACAAGTTGAATGCCTCAATGTCAGAATCAGAATCCTGTAAAATCATAATAAAAACAAAGAAGCCAATAAATGAACCATTTCAACAGCTATAGTTAAAATAGTCAAAATATGGAAGAAAAAAAGGAAAAATAATTTTTCTGATAACCAATGAGCCTGAACCCACTGCATGCAAAGTTGAAATAAATGCTGGAAAATTTTTCTGATATATTCAATTAAGATTTTCAACATGTCATAGTCAAGGCTCGAGCTGGAAAAAAATTTTACATGTTCAAAATAGCATGTCAACCATAAATATTCCTCACCTGGGTTAGAAATTCAAGCAGATTAATCTCACAGTATCCAACGAGAGTATTACTTCTTACTCTGTTGGTCTACATAAGGAAAAGAAAAATCATTTGAAATTAGATACAGTGATACGCTAACGGAATCACAAAGTAGACAGAAGGAATAACAATTTCAAAAGTTTACTTAGGAGAATTATGCAGCATTTCTCTGTCTGTTTAGTATAAGCACGTTTCCAAATCTCTTGGCATAGGATTTCAAATTTCATATATTCAAGACTAGCAATGAACTGGATACGCTTATTTTAAGGTAATCCAAATAAAAATAAAAAGGTCAAAGGATCTAATTGCACACCTCAAATACAGAAATCCTAGCAACATGAGGGCCATTGTTTTCCAGAAGAAGTTTTTTTCCCTGTGGAAGAATGAAGAAGTCATGGTGAACAGAAAGCAACCTATTTTCTGAACTATATTATCAAAAGTCAATGGAAATCTGGATCATCACCTCATGAAGTAGGGCAAATGAAGTTGAGTAATAATAGTTAACACGTGCTCATACATACATTTCATAAGATATATCTAGAAACTTAAGCTTTTCAATTTTTCATGGCTACCTCAACATCTTCCATATACCCTTCAAATCTTCAACCATAATGACCTAGTGCTCAACAATAAACATTAGAAGGGAATTATTTGAATTCATATTCCCTGATACTTTATAAAGGTGAACCATATTATTTTATTGGCAATATAGATGAAATGATGAGAACATCAAAATCCATAACTTTCTTTTTTGGAAACGAAACCCATAACTTCTATTATTTCTGTAATGACACGTTCCATATTTCATAAAAGAAGGGGAAAAATGAATTTTCATTAGGGAATTGCCTCCTCTTGAATTTGGAAATTGCATATGTAGTATCACATGCTCAAACTTCGTTGAAGATAGTTTTATTTTCCATAACCTTTAATAAAGTTGTTTAATGGGAATTTTATCCCAAAACACACAAGAAGTTACACCAAATTCTACATTAAATGTTTTACACATGAGTTATTTTCATCGTACAGAAATACATAGTGCCCACAGATAAAATGTTGGACTGTAGCATGTTCCCTTCCAGATGTTTATGTTGCAACTGCTTAATAGGTTTATAATTATATATAATAGTATGAATCTTCTTAAACCTGCTTTTATTCATTACTTAAACACCCATGAAAATGATATCAACACACTTATATGCCATTACTGATAAATTTGCAATGGAAGGTCACTATCTTTCACTGTTATCCCTATGTATATATATGTATATATAAATCCTCCAGAAATCAAAAGACTTGCCAATAAACTAAAAGTAAATGAAATCATGCTCAAACTTTCAATAATTTATGATAGAGACTAGGGTACTCACAGAGTTCCAAACCGGGTTGTCTGTACTGCACCAGCAGTAGAACAAAATGAATACATGAAACAATAATGAAAGGAAAGGTTTCTATTGCTAATAAGAACTAAAATATTGCAAGGAAACCCTTAAATCTAAACACAGGTAAAGAGAGCTATATCGTAAAGATGTACTTACGTATCCTTAAGTAATAGAACCCTATAGGCTCACCTCAAAAATTAAAACAATAAATCCACATATTATTCTCATAAAATTCTAATTGAATAGAGCATCTCATGAAAACAACTTTTTGTAAGTTGTTTTCATTTTAAGTAATTGATCTTTTTATTAAAAAAAAATTGAGTAGAGTATCTGCCTTTTTACATGATGAATATATACAGCTAAAATGATCAACACAAACCCAGGAGGTTTTTCCAGCACTTAACTGATCAGAAGTGTTTGTGCGGAATGCCTGTTCTCCGAGAGATAGACAAGCAATCCATTTATCCTTGAACTGCATCTCCGCCTGTAACCAAAAGATTCACATTTTACCATTTTTAAATTAAATATATGTGCGTCGTCCAAAGAAAGAACAACAACGTGTGCGTGTTTATATTATTAGTTATGAAAAATGCGATACACTTCACATTGTTATGTCCAGTGCTCAGACTTCCCTAGTCTTTTGTAACCACTTCTGTTATCCCCAAAAAATAAGTCTAAAAGCAAACATAAAATTTTCAACTCAATTAATTACACAATTGCAAACAACAACGAAAGAAGGGGGGGGAACCGCTTTTCGTTAGAACCCAAGAAGTAAAAGAACCACTGATAGTGACGTATAAAACGTACGAAATGGAACAAATGTAGAATCTAAAAGCTATTTAAATTGCAGCGTCATAATAACATTTATCAGTTTCACAAGGAGGGGGAGGAGAAAAGTCACCGTACGAGAACCCCGAAAAAAAAAAAAAGTGACATCTTATTTTAAAAAACACGAGTTATATGGTCAGTCTTAACAATTGTGGCGTCATTATCACCGGTGACGAGCATGTAATACATATCTGATATCACAAAAGCACTCAATTCAGAATTACCGGTAACAAAAACAAAAACAAAAAGTGAGACTGAACAAGAGGCTCGTCTTGAGAAAAATGAAGAATGAATTGTAAAACATAAATGGGGAAAAGTGAGAACTAGATTAAAAGGAGATTGATATGGCCAGCCTTAACTAATTACAGCAATTTCACAATTCGTCAACGTCAAACAACCGGAAATGCTCTTAAGAAGGTAAATTGAGCAAGAGAACGCACGCTGATGAGAGTGAGGAGAGCGATTCCGGCGAAGTTATCAGCGGAGATGAGTTTGAGAGAAGAAGAGGAGGAATCAGAGGAGGCATCGCCATTCCTAGGACGGCGATCGTGACGGAAGTGGCGGCCTAGATGAAGACGCTCTTTGAAGCGAGCACGACGCGAGCCTTTATTACTTTCTGAAGAAGAAGAAGAAGACACCTTGGAGTCTCCATTACCCATAGTCGCAGTCTCTGGTTTAGATGCGAGATGATGCTACGGCTGAGTCGGAGATGGTGCTTGGATAGAAGTTCTAGCGATATGCTCGATGGTGTGGTCGGGGACACCCTATGGCATCGTTGACCCCACAGTGGATATTCGCTGTACACACATTGGCCCTGGAGGACGGAGTGAGACAGCTCTCTCTCTCTCTCTCTCTATATTTTTATAAAAGAATGTTTGGAATCAGAGAAGGTGAGCAAACTTTTCGTTGCAGGACACTGGTTGAATGAGGAATTATTTATATCTAGAAGCTACCTCCTTTTCAGTGTCCAATTAACCATTAGCTTCGCCTTCACACCCTCCCTAATTGAATTTTTTTTAGATTAAAAAGTTTATAATTAAAATTAACAAATTGAGATTAAGAAAAAAATTAGTGAATATAACATGATTTATATTTTAATATTTTTTTAAAAATAAATTAGATAAATTAAAATTTATTTGGATGATTTAAGGTAAAAGTCAATTAAGATATTTAAGGATAAAAATAAATCTAAATTTTCTTATTTATATTTTTGTTATTAATTAAAAAATAAAAAATATTAAACTTAAAATTACAATTAATAACTAAAAAAATCTTAATATCATAAAAAATATATAATAAAAAAATTTAACTCTAACTATATAATATTATCTAATAAAAAATCAAAATATTTAATTACGAAAAACTAAAAATTTGCTAAAGATGGAGATAATGAAGAGAGAGAAGCAGTGCAAAGGAGAAGGGACGACAGCAACGCACACGGTGGAAGATGAGAAAGCTAGGTGGAAGAGACACGGGATACAGGGAGAAAGTAATCTCACTATTATCAAGGCACTCACAGCACGTCTTTCCCACATGGTGCAATGTTGGTTCAGACTAAAGCCTGAATATGAAGCTGCACAATTTCTAGGATCATACGGCATCAAAGCCTTTCCTGACCCAAAGTGTGGTGACTGTGGTTTGTTCCAATATTTCTGACTGAGCATCCGAAGGAGATAGTCTTTCAAATGAACAAACAAGGTGACTGTGATCCAGCTCCATAAGATTGACTTCTTTGTTTGTAGCTAAAACTATTGACTGTTGAGAACAAAGAATATGGTAGTGAACCTGGTTGAGAAGCCAATATCCTTGATCTTCGTAATAGCAGGGCATGTTAGACAATACTCTTAAAAACAATTTCCCATAGAACTTGAAGGAGGAGGAGGAGGGGTGAGGTTGACTGCAACTAGTGAGCCGTTTGCTTGTGACCATGAGTGAGAGAGAGAGAGAGTCCTCAAATTCCAAAAAGAAGGAGAGAGTAGGGAGACCAAGAGTGCAACTGTGCGAGGGATGGAGAGAGTAGAGATTGAGACTTAAGTACGACTGTGCGAGCAATGCTAACGCTAACATTAACGCAAAAGTCAAGTCTAATGGGTTTGGAGAAAAAGCTCATTCTGGCCTCAATTGAGATTGAAATATTTTGTTTGTCCAAACAAAATTTTTTAATTTTTTTATATTCTAACCTCAGTTAGCTCATCCTAATCTCATTTACAAACTAATCCAAACACACTCTAAATCTATCTCCTCCCTTCCATCATTTTCATAAGGCCTTGTACTATTTGTAACGAAAAATATTTAGATTCACCGAATGCACCACCTTATATATATATTTTATTCAATTAAATTTTCGTACAAAACTTTTTAAATTAATTTTATTTTTATAATAGAATGTATATTTAATTTTTTTATTTTTTCTTTCTACTATTATTAATATCATAATTAATTTATATTTAATATTATTTAAATATTATATTTTTATTAAATATACCACAGATGACATAATGCATCAATTTACCTAAGTAATTCTCATTTGTACTTGTTCTTCATGGGATTAAGAAAATTAATTAAAGTCAGATAAATGATATAAATTTTTAAATTTATCTATGAGAAAAGAATAAATTTTGAATTTTGATTGTATTTTATTTTTAGTCTGTGTAGTTTGATTATTCTCATGTGAGTTTGTAATGTTAATTTTTACAGTTTTAAAAACGTATATAAAAATCCTGAGTTATTGCTAGTAGAGATAATCTTGTTGTTAACTTTGCTAACCTCTTTACTAACATAGTAAAAACGTCCCAATGACAAGGAAATAAATTGACTGGGCACGATTAAAAATAAAAGGTAAATAGATAAAAAAAAAACTTTCTTTTTATATTTAGTTTAAATAGTATGTGAAAGGCAAAGGCGAAATTAAGTATACATAAGTAAAGGAGTTAACAGAATTAAGTATACATTGGTAAAATTAATTTTATTAGTATCAAATCATGGTCCTTATTTATATTTTAAAACTATATGGATTAATACTGCAGACGGGTCAAATTAAAAGAAATAAGAATAATGAAATAAAATTATAATGATTAAAAACAAAATTCTCAATGTACCTGACCTATTGTTGTATTTTTTTTTTCCTTTATTTTTTTCATTCTTTCATTGGAACAAAAAGTAGAGGGGCAATGGAAATGAAAAACTTATGTATAAGTCCTATAAAACAGATTTATTTATAAATAAGTCTAACAAAATTTAAAACCACAGCCAAGTTTCTTAAGACCTAAGTATAATTTGAAATTGAAGTCAAAAGATAATGATGCCCATATTAAAAATATATTAAATTAATTAAATAATTTATAATTATTTTATCAATAATTTACATCCATCACTTCAACTTTTTATAACAATAACTTTATATATTTAATAATTAAACTAATTGCGCATTATTAAAAAGTTTAACATTAATTGTTTACAATTGTCTTATCAATAATTTATAATTATCACTTTTAATTTTTTACAACCTTAACTTCACATATATAATAGTTAAATTGATTGTGTATTATTAGCAAAGTTTAATGCTGATTGTTTTTAACTACTTTATCATTAATTTATAATTATAACTTTGACTTTTTATAAATGTAATTTCACATATTTAATAATTAAAAAATTTAAATGTTTAATGTAAAAAGTTAAAGTTATAGTTGTAAAAAATTAAAATGATAGTTTTAACTTGTAAATTATTGATGAAGTAGTTGTAAATTAGTTAACTAATGTAATCTATTTTTAATAAAGGCATTATTGTCTTTACACTTTAATTTTAAATCATATTCAAATCTCAAAAAACTTAGCTATACTTTTAAAATTTTGTATGACTTATTCATAAAAAGGTATACTCCATAAAACCTATATCAATAAGTAAATACTATTTTTATCTCCTGTTCTTGATTAATTAAAGAACCTCCTTTTAAAAGCATTTTGGAAGAAAAGCATATTACCTAGTGCTTGAATTTTGGAAAATGTGTTATAAATAAGAATAAATTTTTGTTAGAAAAAGGAATAAAAGGATACAAAAGAAGAGAAAAAGTAATAAACCTTTGGATGAACATAATTTATTTTTTATTTTTTCCGCTCTGTGCAACCGATACAAGCCAATATGGATTTGGTGGGGAGTGACGTGTGACTTTTTTTTCTTTTTTTTTAAATGGGTGGAATCTAATCTAGATTATTTAAATCTAATGTGAATTATTTTAAATTCAAAACTCTTCAGTCAAATCTTATATAGGATGGACTCAAAGCTGATCAAGTGGGGTCACCTTTTGCTGAGTTAAGAGAAGCCCAAATTTTTAGTTAACAATAATCAAAAATTCAAATTAATATCAACTAACATCAGGTTGAGTCTAATAGAAAAAACTAATTTTTTATAATATAATAAATTAATATTTAAATTTTTATTAAAAGAGATATTTATATTTAATACCCATTATGTTTAAAATAGAATTGTATCCAATAACAAAGTGCATGTAAACAATAAAAAAAATTTAAATTAATGAATTTGGAAAACTGAACATCCGGCCTCTATACTTTTGCCTGATTGTAATATATGTAGTCCCTGAAATTTAATTCTATGCAATTCAGTTTCAAAATTTTAACTCAATTTCTATAATTTAATGCATTTAAAACATTAGTTCCTAAACTTTAATAATAACTCTATTCAAATTTTTAAAAAATGTAAGGAGCAAAATTTTAAATAAATGAAACTGTAGTGTCTAAATTATAAAAGTTAAAATTCAAGAATTGAGTTTTAATTGAGATAAAATTATAAGAATTAAGTTGTAAAGAATTAAAATTTAAAAAATCAGTTTTAAAATAAGTAAAAAGTATATGAATTGAATGATTATTTTTTGCCAAATAAATTTATTCACAGCCGAAATCAACACCCGTCAAATTGAAACATCAAATTAAAATGACAGGCAAAAGTGATATCGATAATTGACGAAATTAACGGCTAGAATTCATTGATAAATACAATGAACTATTAAATATAAGAATTCACCAACTAAATTAATGATTCGGGTCCAACTTTAACCACCATTTTAACATTTTACTCTTAATCCAACAATTTTTTTTTTTTGGGGAAGAAAAGGAGACACATATACCTACACAAGCACGCAGCACATATTAGTGTTGGATTCAAATCCAGAACTTTTTCTAAAAGAAAAAAGTAACGTTGCTACTGGAACGGCCAGCCTTTGATAAAAGTACAACAACGATAATGTTAAATGACAATATAGAAGACCGTGTCGCATCAATAGAAAGGTCATTAAGTAATATTATTAATGTGAATATCTTTTGGAGCAGGAGCAAGAGAAACATTTGTAGACAAGAATTAGAAATATTTATAAATAAATTTTTTTAAAAAAATTAATTATTTAATTCTTATAATTTTAATCTACTTATATCTCATTTTCTAAATTTTGACTCATTATAACTCAGTTTCTGAAGTTTTGACTCAGTTGTAAATCAGTTCTTGAACTTTACTTCTTGCAATTCAATCTCTGAAGTTTAAAAATATTTATCCCTATATTTTAAAAAATAAAATTATAAAAATTAAAAATATTTTAAAATTTATTACAAATATCTTAAATTATTAAACCCTTTTAATATTTATAAATATTAAAATTTTAAAATATTTTAAATTTTTATAATTTTATTTTTTAAAATATAGGGATAAATATTTAAGAGATGAAAACTTTATGGATTAAATTGTAAGAGGTAAGGTTTAGAAATTGATTTATAATCGAGTCAAAATTTCAAGAATTGAATTATAACGAGTCACAATTTAGAGATTGAGTTATAATTAGATTAAAATTATAAAGATAAATGA